AACAAATTTGTGTTCGTGCCTTACTGGCTTTCAGAATTTTAATACATGAAGAAAAAAAAAACCCCATGTTAAGTTAGCTGCAATTTCATCTTAGAAGGATGCTGTCAAAATAGAATACTACAAAAAGTTACAAATCTCTGCTTGCAAAGACAACAGATCTGCAATTCAATTAATATTCTTTTCAAATTCACCGAGTGAATGTAAAACTGCTGAATGGGGCACTTGCACATATTTTTATCCCCTTCTTTGGCTACTGACTTGGGTAATGAAGTGTGGATGTGGCTGTAACATGCCAGTTGGAAGGGAGCCAAAACAGAGATGTTGTTTGTACATGTGCAGATGTTGGCAGGATTCCCTGCACTCCTGTTGTCAAAAGATCTTTTTATTGGCACAGAGTTATAAATATATCTGTGTTACAGGATGGCATGCAGATATTTTACTAGTGCTGTTTGGGATGTTCACTTCTTAATAAACCAGACTGCTCCTAGAATTTCTTGTGTGATGTGAAATTCAGTGTACACAATACAGGAAGCATAATATATGTATTTTGAAGATCAGTGAACCATTGTGACTAACGCTGTACTTTCAAAATTAGTTTAATCCATTACATGAATCCCTGCTGCCGCTGAAAAGGAAAGGTCCTCTTAGCTCCTTTCCTCTCTTCCGCACCTGGCTACTCAGGCCTTCTCCCTTCCTTGTGTTGGTACTGGCATGATGTGGTGATGTGATGAGCTGGATCAAGCTGCTGATCCGACTGAACCCCAGCCCAGCAGGTACCAGCTGCATTGCTTTCCTGATGACATGAAGGAGGGGACTGAAATGGGTGTGCTTGATGGGGTGGGAGGGATGGACACCTTCGCTTCCAATGGTAGCATGGCCTCTACCAAGTTCAACTGTTTGTGGTTGAAATTGTATTTGGAAATAGAGCCAAAGGCATAAGCAGAGCAGGACTGGAATATAGGAAAGGAGAAGGTTGGAAAAGAAAAGGAGTGTGAGGCGGTCCAAAGTCATACTTAAATAAAAATATTTAGGTATCATTGCTATAGCACTCAATGCACAATATTCAATTCAATTGCTGATAAAATGAGCAATATGAAAATGTTATGCTCAGCTGGTGAAATCAGTTAAAGCCATGTTTATCAGGAAACGTAATTAGGTAAATTTTATCCAATTTATATCTTATAAATTTGGGTTTATAAGGTGTGGATGAAGTAGACTTGCATGGGTACAGGGCTGATAGGTACACACATTTGGACTTCACCCGTACTAAGCTGTATGGCTTTTTCCTAATGGAAACGGGTAGGCAGTTGTTGTGGTTTAGCCCCAGCTGGCAACTAAGCAGCACGCAGCCGCTCACTCGCCTCCACCCAGGTGGAATGGGGGAGAGAATAGGAAAAAAACTCGTGGGCTGAGACAAAAACAGTTTAATAGGACAGAAAAGGAAGAGGAAACAACAACTGATAAAGGAGTACACAAAACCAAGTGATGCGCAATGCAACAATTGCTCACCACTCGCTGATCGATAGCCCATCCCTGAGCAGCGATTCCTGCCCCCGGCCAGCTCCCATTTCTCTCCTGAGCATGACGCCACACGGCAGGGAACATCCCTCTGGCCAGCCCGGGCCAGCTGTCCTGGCTGTGCCCCCTCCCAGCTCCTTGCGCACCTCCCCGCTGGCAGAGCAGGGGAAGCCGAAAGCTCCTTGACTGAGTGTAAGCACTACGACTGCCTAGCAACAACCAAACACACCAGTGTGTTATCAACATTATTCTCATACCAAATCCAAAACACAGCACTATACCAGCCATCAGGAAGAAAATTAACTCTATCCCAGCTCAAACCAGGACAACAGTATTTTGAATTTTCCTGTATGCCCCTCGATCCCACTCACTGGAATGAAAAATTTTTGCTTGCCCAGAGTTCTCTGGAGGTTATGCCTCAGCACCAATGCCTGCTTTTTGAGTGAAATTACACGTTTCTTTGTAAATAACTAATTTCACTTGATGGACAACAGCCATTTGCCTATTGGTTTGTTTTCATTCAGGACTGAATACATTAATGGTAAATGTGCATGAAATCTCATTTTGGTGGCGTTTATTGATACCACAGGCATGAGTTTTCATTATATTGGTCTCTTTGTAGGGTAAGTAAGGAACACTGAATTAGCACACACTTAATTTGTTGGAAGGTTATTTTGCTAACCACAAAACAAGCAAAAAAACCTCAGCCAGCTTCTTAACTGTGGAATGTATCACTTGACTTGCCCTGAACTAGTGGATATTTGACCCTACGTACCACCTTCATAAATTGCTGTGAAGCCTACGGATAAAAAACTGAAGGCTGGATAATATCCTTATTGCACAGTAGATTCAGTTCGTGAGAGAGGTTTAGTTTTCAATTATATGGTATCACAGCTTGAACATACCTGTCTCAAAACCATCCAGTTAGTTCTGTGTTATCCTCAGGATTTTTCATTACCAGATTCGCCTATGTGGGTAGATCAGGTGATCAGAATAGACTAGAAGTCCAGACACTTAGACACCTCAAAAGCTTCAAACCTATTATTTTATTGATATGGGTCTGATGCCCTTTAGACCAACCAAGAAAGGGTCTTTTTTGCAATGGTAAACACAGTTATTTCCCCTAAAGTTGTCTTCTCCGCTTGCCATGTTAGAGGTTAGCTTAATGCCTTTTGCCGTAAAGATGGCAAACTACGTCAACAATATATTAATTATGATTTTAATTTCTTCACATGTGCCATAAAGACAAGATTGGCTATGTAGAAACTTCGAAGAGACCTTGAAAATTCCATAGAGCACCTCTTGAGCCAGAATAGTCTGGGATGGATGCTCAGCTTCCAGTAGGATCCAATTATCAAATACTGTTAACATATAAACAAATGGATATTTTTACTGTCTCAAAATTCTATTTAAAATATTACATAATTTTAAAACTGTAGATGAACAAATGGCATGTTCTTAAGTGTTACAAGCAAGGACTGCTGTAGGCGAGGTACAAGTTAACCTAGTACTCAGCCTTCATGTTAGATACAGGCTCAGTTAGGGCCTCCATAACATTTTATTAAATGCTTTTAATAACATCAAACAACAAATGTTTTTTACCTCCTGAAACCTGCTGCTGTTGCAAAATCATGAAAATTTGATAGAACTAAGAGAAACTATTGTTGCAGTGCTGACCAAATGTTCCTACTTTGCTTTTTCTTGCTGCATGTTTACCAGCAGCATCTTTTAAAAGGTGGAGAAGACAACTATAAGAATTTTCCTCTTGGATATTGCTAGAGGATGCATTGATCCGATGACTTTTTGGGTCAGAGGCCAGTTAGTAGTCTTTTTGATGAAACTGCGTTCCTGTCATGGTAGCATGCTTATGCAGAAAACAACTAGTGAAGCATGCAAGCAAGTTTTGTGAGTAAAGATTGGGGTGTGTATCGGTGATTTATATTAATGTATTGACCGTTGTGATCTAAGCAAATCTATTTTGCTTTTTAAGGGCTTTTTAGTACTAAATTTGAAGTCTTAGTGTGTGAATTTGAATATAGCTTTAACTTTGCTGTTTGCATTTCAAGAATAAGTATTAATTCTTGGGGGTAAATGTGCCTTGCAGTTCCTTATGTATTAGAGAGCTTCTAGTGTTTCTGACCAACATCAGTATTCTAACCTTGACTTAGTGTCAGCTGATGCCTAGTGCTTAACATAAAACGATCAAGACTTTGTTATCTGAGGAAGCACAGACATAGGTAAAACAAAAGATTGTTGTAGGGGAGGTATGGGTTCTAAGGCTATGGTGGTTGGGTATGTAAGCACTCTAACTTTTCTAAATTTTTTTTTAAGTGGGATGCATACACAGATGGGTGAGTGCTGGGCACCTCTTCCCTGACTGCTCTTGTAGTTCAGATCTGTTTTACATGATGTGTTCCCTTGCAGTGTCTCTTTTCTTGATTTACTGCAAACGTTTTCTGCCATGATGGATTCCAGGAGGTGTAAAACTTCCATTCAGATTTCCAAACCCACCATGCCTTTCAACCCAGGTGTGGTAAAAGCTTTGCTACATCATCATTGCAGAATTGATGATGAGTTGCTTCAGGTGACACAATAGCAAGGTAGTGCAAGAGGAAGGAGCATGTGCACATAGTGGTATCTCCTAGTTGTTAAAATTTGTGTATATTACATTCTTAGAGAGTGCTAACTCATATGCATTTGGGTCTTCTTAATTTAATATTTTTATGGTTTCTTCCTGATGCATAGAAGTAGGAAAAATATGCTGGTGTTTTTCTTTTTTATTGCTTGTAGTATGTTATTACTATTCAGTCTCTTATGTTAACTTCCACAAAAGCTACTATTGGAGACAGATTTTACTTTTGATAAAAAAGATATATGGCTGTATGTTCTAAATACAGTGTATGTATGTAGCAATTAATCAGGAGGTAGACTGTTAAGGAGTACTTAGAGGCATAAGAAAGCCTAAGCTTTCTTTTATACCTTAATCTGTTCTGTAATCCTTTCTGTGAGAGATCTTCAAGTGAGAGGATCCTCAAAGGAATCCAGTCAACTGGGGAAAATGGGAAGTGGGGTTGGTGGGAAGAAGAAGGTGTTACTTTTTAAAGCTTTTTCCTTTAGGTTATTAAAAAAAACATGGTTTTAATTAAAAATTTCAGACGCAAAATTATCTTGGTGGGAAGTACACTTGTATTAATACAACAGATGTGTATAAAACACCAATAGAAAATGATAGTGGGTGGAATTCTGCATGTGTATGTGAAAATATATATATATTTCCCTTTGGTAGTCCAGCAGGGCTTCTTGCTCACATAAATATATTTTGTGTTGCTTTTTCTTTCTCTTCAAAACCTAAAAAATATATGGAAATGTAGTGTTGATGTGTATTTACAGGTGTCTCTCCTAAGTTTTATTGAACAGCCTTTTAAATTCTAAGCTGGTTTGTATTAATGAAAAACTTTTTAAAATCTTTTTATATACAGAGTTTTCCATCTGATGAGGGTTGGCCATTCGCAAAATACTTAGGAGCATGTGGAAGAATGGTGGCTGTCAATTACGTTGGAGAAGAGCTGTGGAGTTACTTTAATGCACCATGGGAGAAACGAGTGGATTTGGCCTGGCAATTAATGGAAATAGCTGAGCAGCTGACAAATAATGACTTTGAATTTGCACTCTACCTCCTTGATGTCAGCTTTGACAACTTCGCAGTTGGACCGAGAGATGGGAAAGTTATCATTGTAGATGCAGAAAACGTCCTGGTAGCAGACAAAAGGTTAATCAGACAGAGTAAGTCTCTTCTTTCTCTCCTCTCTCCTCACCCCATGTCTTTTGCTTCTTTCTCTGCAAGCACGATATTTAAAGTATGTGTAGTCGCTAAATACTCATTTTGCTGACTTTATAACTAGACTACTAATTAAACTGTTTAGCTTTCTTCTGCAATTAGACTACTAATGAACTTGACCAGTTTGTCAACTTTACTAAGCATTGAGCTTACCTGAACTTGATTTACATACACTTTTAATCTCTGTAATACTGTTTAAATGGAGAGGTGAGGGTGGGAGGGCAGGGTTTGGATGTTGGATGGATTTGTACAGATGGATGGACAGATAGACAGATGGGCTGGCTGACTGAATTGTCTGCCTTAGCTAAAAGAGAGAGGTTCCTTTCGTCTTTTCCAGACGTCTGTAAGGACGGAAGTCTTAGCATTCTGTTTTCTGTGAATGAAAAGACAGTCTTACTGCCCGCTTTGCCTTAGTTACATAGCCTGCCTCTGGTTCAGTTGCTCAGGTAGGTGCTCTGTAATAATGGAACTGAAGGAATGAGTAATTTTAGTGCAGTTTCCAAATGGGAATAGTGAAAAATTGTTCATCTTTCTGTCAACTGTAAAAGCTCAAAGCAGTGGCAGCAGGAGAGATGTCTGACAAAGTGGCATTACATGGGTTTATATTCCTTTTGAGCTTATAAGGAAAACTTTATAGACCTAAGGGCTAGAGACATTGAACATGAAACCCTAGATTCTGCAGAAGTTCGTGGCATTAGGCTAAGTGATTCCAGTTTGCTTTGGGTAAATGGACTTTTTTTTAAGCTTTGCAAATAGACTTCATATGCTGTGCTGCTGAATTAACTTTGAGACTATATTTCCTATCCACACACTTTTCTACAAGGAAGTATGTTTTTTGGTGTTGTTTTGGTGGCGTGGGGTTTTGGGTTTTGTTTGTGGGTGTTTTGGGTTCTTTTTTGTATTAGATTTATTATACATTCTCAAGGAGCTTAGATTGAAGTTATCTGAGCCTACCAAGAAAACCTTTAATGTATTGGAGATCCAGTATATTTACTTCAGTACAAATAAACTTTCTTTTTCTTTTTTTTTCCACTCTCTTAAAATAAGAAAAACTTTGAGACTGACTTTTGGAGCATGTCTGAATTAGTCACAAAGATGACCAAATGAACTCTGAAAAAGTTGATGTGTAAATGGAATAGGAGCAAGTAGCATCTTGCAGAATCTGAATGCTGAAAGTGTCACTCACACATCTGTTGTCTATAGTTCTCAGACTAATTTGGATCTAACTAGGATTTTGCTGCATGATTTGTAATCTAACAATTAATCAAGAACACAAAAAACAAATGAGGACACAAGAAAGTTCTCAGTCTTTGTATAAATGTGACATTTAATACTGATTTCATCAATCTCCTGGAACGTTTCATTAAACAGTCTCACTCTAGAGTGATTAATATGCCTGTTTAGATATTTTAGTATGCCTGTTTAGATATTTTAATATGTACATTCTGTCCAAATGCACTGTACAGTAATATCTAATGGTACTCTATGTGGGATATCATAGCTGAGTTTGCTGACATCCTTTTTTCCTATTCTCCTTTGCTGTCTTTTTTCCATGTCGAGTTTCCTGTTCATCGTACGAGCTTTACATCATATTTTTATAGTTTTAGCAGTGATCCTTCAATACGTCTGGTTTGGTTTTTTACCCCCAGTCTGGCTTGCAGTGCACCATAATTAAGATCAGTAGTCAGTGTAGAGACTACCAAACACAGATAAATTTTTCTTCATAAATCACAGCGCTAAAAGAGATCTGCAAAATAATGACATTCCATGATAAGGACCTCTTCTCAAAGCTGGCAGTAATCTAGAAACTTAAGATGAAAGTTTTCTAACAAAAAGTCGTAACAACTCAGGAGATCTCACACGTAGTAACCTTTTACGTATTGTTGTATAAGGTATTTTCTGTAAATCGTGTTTTAAGTTAAAGAAAGCTTTGTGACAAGGCCACTGGTTACACCTTTCAAATTTTGGTAACACTTCTGATATATGTAAAGAGCAGTTTATACATGTATGTAAATGCCCTTTGTTTTGTTGAATTTTTTTTTTTCCTTCAAAGATTATTTGTAATGCATCTGTGTGTTTACATGCAATTCTTCATTACTACCATGTCTAAAGTAAGAGGTTGGAAGATAATGTTTCAGAAGTTTATGGCAATTACTTCGCAGGTTTTTTTTGTTCTTTGGTAGACCACTTGCCAGTGTTAGTTCCCAGGGCAACTGGAGAAGCCAAATCTATGTTGCTAAAATAAATCCTGTTGCTTGTTTGTGTTTTTTTCTGAACTTCAGCTGTGAATCGTTTCCTTGTACTTGTTTGTGCTATGTTTTTTCCTCTGGGTAGGTGTGTGAACATAGATTTCATGTGTTTACTGTGCTGTTTTTTCTGCTTCCCTCTCTTGGCTATCTATTTAAGCCTCTGTCTGTCTTTCCCATATTTTTTGTATTGCCAGGACCGTTTCATCAGAAGGGTATATCAAACTGTCAGATGCAATCTTAGACTAGCATATTTAAGAATTCACCTAAACAGACTTGGTTTATAGTTTAAATATTACCAGTTTGCTATGTATTGAGCTTCTGATTGTATTCAGACATGCATATATTCTTTCTTCCTCTCACTTTTTTATTTTACTGTCTCCTTATATTTCACAGATAAACCTGAAAACTGGGATGTATGGTACGAAAGCAAATTTGATGACTGCGATAAAGAAGCTTGTCTGTCTTTCTCAAAAGAGATTCTTTGTGCTCGTGTTACTGTGGACCACAATTATTATGCTGTTTGTCAGAACCTTTTATCAAGACATGCCACATGGCGTGGCACTTCTGGAGGACTACTTCATGACCCCCCAGCTGAAATTGCCAAAGATGGCCGACTTGAGGCCTTGCTGGATGAGTGTGCCAACCCAAAGAAGAGATACGGTAGATTCCAAGCTGCAAAAGAACTGCGTGAATACCTTGCACAATTGAGTAACAACGTGAGGTAGTCCACGGTGAAAATTTTTTGCAACGCTGGCTAAAACACTATTGCAAAGACACATAGAAAATGAAGTTTTGAACTTCCGTATTAAAAAGAGAAAATAAAAAAAAAAAAACAAACCCACCTAGCTTATCAGTTTTCTAAATACCATAAAAATATAATTTTATGGTGTTATAATGTTCCTTTGCAAACAGACAAGGTACTTACTGAATTAAAACTTGATCTACTATTGACTCTTCTCCCTAACTGTTTAAAAGGGAGTAGGGCAAAAAAGACTGTGATAGCTTAATTGACAGCTTGTGTGTCAAAGGGTACTTTACGTAAAACTGCATTAGTGTCACAGTTTCGTGAAGCTGATGTTCTTACTTGGAAAGTCAAGTTAGACTGATGGCCTGTTTTAAAGGCCTTTTTTCTGACATCATTGTCTCATTTTTGTGTTTGTTTAAACACCTTGAAGTGGCATTTCCATCCAGGTAAATCGAGCTGTCTGCATTGTCTCAAATTTAACGGGCTTTCATGTTAATGCTGTGCAGTACATTCCTACTGTGAGTGCAGGATTCCCACGTTTACTGTCTGATTTTAGGGGGTTTTACACTGTATTTTTACTATGCTTAGACATTGTGGTGTGGTTTTTTTTTTAAGATCATCATAAACTCAAATGTCATTTGAACTAACATTCATTTGATGTCTTTTGTAATTCTGCCATTGGAGATATCACTTAATGTAATTATTGTACAAAACTTTTACCCTTCATGCCAGTATATACACATGACTGTTTAGCAGGAAATCATGGTATGAGCAAACTCTTACCTTTAACAGAGATAACTTGAGAATTTGACAGAGACTACAATAAAAAGATCTGTATTAATTTAAATTGGGGATAGAAACTTGACACAAAATAAAAATTCACTAGTCCAGTGTAGTTAAGCATAAACCAAAGAAAATGGTTCTGGTTATTAGTTTCTAAACAAACAGTAAAGAAAAAATGTTATACTGTAGTGAAGCTAATAATTCTCAAAATTGAAATTTCAGTGGTCCTTGGTTACTCTTTGAAGAACTTCTAATACTATGTGCTTGTACTAGATGAAACCCTAATTTGAATCATAATGTCTAGAAAGTTAGCAGTTTGTTTTACATCATTCCCAATTCTCTTGAAGTATAATGGAGTTTACTGTATATTCATCTTTTGGTTTACCAGGTAAATTGATTAAGCTGTATTCACTCTAGACATGTTTTCTTGAACTAAGTTTGATTATTCCCAGCGCAGTTAGAATTGACTTGTTGAGATTTGTGTAAATCTGGAGTTGTTCTCATAAATTATAATTTCTGTAAAAAACCTCGGTTACTGCTACAAGACCTCACTTCAAAGCTTGCTCTTCTTTTATTTTTTTGTGGGGTTTTTTTGTTTGTTTGTTTTTACACTACTATAATGCTTTATTTTCCTGAAATCTTATTCATAAAAAGATACTCTTAGGAAATGTATGCATATTACTTCTTGTAACAGTAATGAAGGAAACTAATATTTCTTAAATGCCTGTATAAAACAGTATTTTGTACAAGCTAAAAAGAATTCTGAAGAAGGTAGTATGTGCTACTTTCAAGAGGAAAGTTAGTACGCCTTTCATACTGCATCAAAAGATGACTGAAAACTTGCTGTACCAAATCACTGCAAGTGCAAGGTGAGCAAAATAGCAAACTCATTGACTGACCCTTCTTTCTGAAAGCTTAAAAAGTGGAGCTAAATAAAGATTCAAAGTGCTTTTTGATTTCTTAGATGACTATATTAATGATATTTTAGAATTCTGAATTCTCGCTTTGTCATCTTTGCCTTTGTAGTCCTAATTTGCTCCCAATCCCGTGTCTCATTTTCTGAAGTTAGAATGCCCAATGCAGCTTTTAATTTTCATTTCTCCCCTCGTTTGAAAACTGTTTTACATGCTTGCTCTGGCATAAGCTGTCAGAGAAAGTTCATGTTATTTTTCATCATAAAATCCACTTATTTGAAGAAAATAGACTAACCCTCAGACTAGGTTAATACTACCCTACCATAAAAGCCTTGACTTACCACTAAAGTTGATTTTTAAACATCTACCACATTTCCCAATGAGCGAGTGGAGTATGATTGTTAAAGTTTTAAAAGAAACAAACACTGCCAATTGTGGTTACTTACTAGAGGCACTTCTGTAACTGTCAGAATGTCCTATCAGATCTCGTTTGGGGTTTAGTTCCCTCAGAAATAAGTTACTAAAGCAGATTATAAAGGAATTTGGACCTTAAAAAAAAAAACAAAAACACTACAGGGAAAACATTGTAGAGAGCAATAAATCTTGTTCTGTTTGCACCTATCAGATATTTATTGTACAATAACAATTTATATTTTTAGTCATTGCCCATTATTATTGACGAACACGGTGAAATATTTTTGAATGAGATGTTTGGGGTTTGTATGTGCATTACAATTGTCCTTTTGTACTGTAAGTTACTGTTTGATTGGAATATTTTATCAAAACTGTCTCCCTGTGCCTTTATATTACAAGAAAGTTGTTTCTGCAACTTCTAATGATATTAATAAAGAATACTTTAAGAACCTCATCTCAGAAATTCATTTTCAGATCAGTCAGTCTTTTAAGATTCACTTAGTCTAGGATGCATTAAAATATACATAGAACTAGTTTTTGTAGTGTTGCAGAATGCACCATTGTCAAAAGTGACAGATAGGAACTTTTTTCCCCTTCTTTCTAGTAGACTGATGCAAAGTATGAATCTGTCAGGAATGTTTTTGTTTTGGAGATTATCATAAGTAGGACTCATTTTCTTAAAAACAACTTGATCAAGCCATATCTTTCTCTTCTGTTAACTGAAAGAAAATATTTTCAAATTAAACAAGTTGATATCTTCTCTCTTTGTTGTTTAAGAAACTTATTTTTCCTTTTATTTAGAGTCAACTATATTGGTAGTACCATTGTGTCTTCAGTACAATATTCTAGCAGTTAATGTAATATAAATATATAATGACTTTTGATGTTTCTCCTTCACTCTGGATTTTTCACTGAGCATTTGCATTTTAAACTAAGCCCTGAAGTTGCACTAGAGCATATATTCCCTTCTGACTTTCTGAGCCTGTGTAAATAATGTTTCAGTGTGAGATACTGTCTTAAGAGACACTTCAAAAATGTTAAACCTTGTACACCATTCTGATTTACCACGAAGACTAAGTTAAATGTGATTTTCTTTCTATTTGTTAGAGTGGAGACCTTGCCTACTTTTTAAAATGCACTAAAAAGTTTTGGTTCTGTAGAGTCTAATGTTTTTGTAGAAACCAGCAATGGTGTTTTGTAGGTTCCTGTTTTTCCATATAACATGTCTGAATTCAGCACTAGCTTCTAAGTTCTTTGTTAGTTACCTGTGTTGTTTGAAACCTGTAATTAGGAGATTAGGATAGATTCACAAAACCTCTGTAAAATGCACATGTCTAGTATCAGAGAAATGTTCCTTTAGGGAAGTTTATGTCTCAATTTGAAGTGTGTGCAGCATGCTTAAGCTGCTTTTGACATTCCTCAGGGTTTCTTTCTATCTCACAATCCTCCCAAGCCTTTAAAAATCCAGTCCATCAAATGGAAACTTCAGTAGAGTTGGTTTCATCTACTTTTTTTTTGTGTTGAAGTTGCAATATACAGACCAGCTACTTTATTTGATAGCCTTCATCTGAACTAGTTCGCTCATTAACTAGCATTGCTGTTATTTCTACTTTAAATCATAGAATGGTTTGGGTTGGAAAGGACCTTCAAAGGTCACCTAGTCCAACCCCCCTGCCGTGAGCAGGGACATCTTCAACTAGAGCAGGTTGCTCAGAGCCCCGTCCAGCCTGACCTGGGGTGTTTCCAGGGATGAGACATCTACCGCCTCTCTGGGCAACCTGGGCCAGGGTGTCACCACCCTCATTGCGTTTTAGTTTAAAACCATTACCCCTTGTCCTATCACAATATCCGCAAGCTTTTTGTTTTCTGTTTCCTTACTTCCAGATCATGTTCAAAGATGTACAGCTAGTTTAAATAGACCTTTATCTACTTCTAGTTTCATTTTAGGATGTTCTAAAGAAATTTTGCCTATGCTGTTTTGTCATTTTTTAAATGTGACTCTCCAGATCTGACAAGCGTCTGTTTGCCTGGGGTACTTCTAAGCATCAAATTCTTTTTATGCTTCATACTGAGTTTTACGAACACGTTTCATATTCTTCCAGGGAAGAGTCTTTGGTAGTCTGACTCGTACTGTACTCTACACTAATGAGCTTTTGCTAGATGCAGAAAGGCCCCGTGCCTGCTAGGTGTCTTCGTAGAGTCTGCGTGTGATGTTAGGACAATGAAGAGTCTGTTGTTTTGGCAGCAGATGAACCTGTTGTTGCCAGGCTGGAAGTATGAGAATATACCTGTTGTGTGTGGTTCAAAAGCTCGACAAATTTAAGGAGCATTAGTAATGAAAATTGGCCGCAAATACTGACTTGCACGTTCAGGTCAGAGCAGGAAAGTAATGACTTTAAATGAAAAAAATATCTAAGGCTGTGTTTGATAGTTGGTGGGTTAACTCCAGTCTTCTGAGAACAGAAATGTGAAAGCAGAATATACTTCAAAGCAAAATAGACCATTTAATATACAGCTTCTGTTCAGATAGAAAGAAGAGCATTTTTTTTTTTTTACCTCAGTGTTTCAAATAGCTTGGCTATTAGTCAAACAATTCTAATACACATCTTTCTATTCTGAACATGATGCTTTTGTATATTTAGTACAGATTCTAGCTTTTGATGTTATTAATGGAGGCTTAGTGCATCCATTTAATGTGCCCTTGGTATAACTACAGATTCCCAAATAGGTGCCCTGTATCTTTTTAAAGGAATGGGATTTTCAAAGTTCAGTGCATTTTTATTTTGTGCTTTTGTTCTGAAACTCCTGAAAGGAGTTGAGCAGCTGATTTCATTGCTGCCAGCCATTAATGCGGTTTGATTTTGACTTGAAAGTTCTCAT